GCCGGTACCGGGCCGCGGTGCCCAGCTGATGCCGGTACCGGGCCGCGGCGTCAAAAAGGTTGGGGATCACTGTCCTAATTGATTCACCACAACAGTCCTATAAATTAAGTTGGACTGAAGGAGAATACCCCAAAGTGAGTCTTGAAATTGATAACATTTGTAACATTGTTAGATTTTTTTTCATAAACTGAAAGTTGTTTGCTGATTGGCTGGCTGACTAGGACCACAGATTGTGAGAGTCAGTTTGGTGTAGTGATGGCCAGGATACTATGAGTTCTAGTCCCATGTTAGGCATGAAACCTGTCTGAGTAACTGTGGGCCAGTCACTCTCTGTTAACTCACCATCTATGATTCTTGTTGCTGGAAAATAGGAAGAGGAGAGTGTATTGTGTATCTTGACTGTCTTAAGTTACTAAGTAATAAATGTGGAATAAAAATATAAATAAATAAGTAAATAAATATTTCTCATAGATTATAAATTTACTAGTGATGGCTGGCTCATCAATCAAGACAAGCAGTATTATTTCAGCACCAACAAATTTCCAATGGAAGAGGCCCGTGCATTTTGCAAAACAAACTTTGGAGATTTGCTTGTCATTGAAGATAACACTGAAAGGAAGTTTATCTGGAAATATGTAAGATGCTCATTTATTATTTCTGACATGAGAACAATTAATGTGTATTATTTGCTTATTTTTAGTTTATTTAAAGCATTTCTGTGACTGCCAGACAGGGGTTCTTGATGGTTTACAATAACCATAGCCTTCATCATAAATTTAAAGTACAAAGACTGTGTTATGGAGTAAAATGAGTATATTTGAGCTTTTCCCATTAGTGAATTAAAATTTAAATAGCATAAAAATTATATCTATTCTGCAATTGTTCATATCAAAATACTTAATTCAGATATGCTGGTCTATATTTCATATGCATCAGCTTTCTTCTATTACTTCTTCTAGTTAACATATTGATTCCATTTTTGGAGCCATGCCAGTCCCAGTAAGAGAAGCCTCTCCATCCCTTGAGCCACATTAAAGTTTAGGGTTTCCTGGTGGTTCCTCATCCACACTTCTATTGGCTCCATTATAAAATGAGCTTGGGTTCATTTAATTGGTCCATCTAGTTGGCAAAATACTATAGGCACCCTCATGCTCCAACATCAATTTTATTGAATATCTTCACAAGAAAACCATTCCTCTTAATCAGAGTAGGATAACAGAATAACAGAAAAATTGAGTTGATAAAGATCTTTGAAGTCTTCTAGTTCAGCTGCTCAATCAGGAAATCCCATACCATTTTAGACAAATAGTTATGTTTGTATTTTTTCATCAAGGAGCAAAATGCTAGATTAACAAATACTGGATCCTGACAAACTCTGCTTTATGATTGCAATTAAAAGCTGGAAAATATTTACGTATTAAGATTTACATTAGTGCCCAACAAGTCATCCATCTATTGTCAGGTTAGACTGGCTTAAAAGAATAACAGAGTTGGAAGGGACCTTGGAGGTCTTCTAGTCCAACCTAGAAGTTCAAGCAGAAGATCCTATTCCATTCTTTATAATCCTCTTTTGAAAATCTCCTTAAGGCATCTGTCTGCCTTATTGGAGAAATTATACTGCTAAAATAATCTGATTCTTGGTTTTATCTGGTTTGATAAACAGAAACTGCCAGAGTTGTACCTTGGTAAGAATTAAAATTTTATCAAGTATGTCTGTAATAAAGCAATGGCCATTGCTAAAAGTTACAAAAATCCATATTATGGAATACAAAAAGAAAAGGCTGGAGTTGGGGTGTTACAATATTTCTTCAACTTTTATTTAGGAGCCAATACCAGTAAACATTCATCTCCATTCAGTTGCCCTGATTCCATCTTGAATCAACAGATTACAGGCAGTAGTGGGATTCAATTTTGTTTTTACTACCGGTTCTGTGGGCATGGCTTATTTGGTGGGTGTGGCTTGGTGGTCATGTGACTGGGTGGGCGGGGCCAACTTGATGTCACTCACATCAAGAGGTTCCTTGCCTGGCTTCAAAGAGATACAATTTCCCTCTCTATTTATTTACTACTACTGAACATCCAAAATACACTATTTAACTCTATGTATATATGCCAAATGTGTACATACATAGTACATAATATAGTATGTGTATAGGCACACAAAAAGATACATTATCTACTATATATATTGTTGTACACACACACACACACACACACACACACACACACACACACAGAGCTCTTCTAAAACTATACACATTCAACCTCACTGTGTTTGGAAAAATACACCCATAGTCCACTTACTGCCACACATTTAACTATAATTTCTGTACATTAGAACATTGCACACGCCTTCAGATTTACTTCCCTAACATGCACATGAATGTTAGAATCAGGAGACATCATGGATTCAGTAAAATGTGGTGAAACTCACTTAACAACATTCTTGCTTAGCAACCAAAATTTTGGGCTCAATTGTGGTCATAAGTGAAGGACTATCTCTGCCTTCCTCTGCATGGCAGCCTTGTCCTAGTAAACTCTTCTGCCAATTTTCCTCTCTGTTAGAGGCACCAAAATAATACAGATTCCAGATGATATAAGGTCTGCTGGAGCAGGGGGTTGGACTAAATGGCCTCCAAGGTTCCTTCTAACTCTGCTATTCTATTATTCTGTAAGGATCTCCTGCTGGAACAGGGGTTGGTCTAGAGAGGTCTTCAAACTTGACAGCTTTAAGACTTGTGGACTTCAATTCCCAGAATTCCTCCTCCAGTCATACTAGCTCAGGAATTCTGGGAGTTGAAGTCCACAAGTCTTAAAGCTGTCAAGTTTGAGGACCCTTGGACTATCGTGTTTCTCATATAATAAGGCCGGGTATTTTTTTTTTGAGCCCCGAAAAAATGACTAGGCCGTCTTTTCGGGGTTGACTTAATTCCCCCCCCCTTGCATCTTCGGGCGACGGCTTGGATGTTGACCTCGGCGTTGGTGGGGCACTTTGAATCGGGGTCAACGCAGGCAGCACCATATCTGGGTGTGCAACAAAAGTACTTCCTAATGGCAAGCCCCCCCACCATTTCCCCCCCATTTCGCATGTTTTAATATAGGCCTTAATTTGGGGGGAGGGGCTTAATTTCATTTCATGCCTATAAAACATGCTGGGACTTCCTATTGGGGGAGGCCGTATTGTTGGAGAAACAGGGTAGAAGATGACCTCTGAGATCCCTTCCAGCCCTAGATTGCTGTGCTGCTTCAAAGAGTCTTCTGAAGCCAGGGTTTGTGTCCCTCCTTCCTCTCCTTTTTCCTCTCTCCCTTCCTTCCTCCTTCCACGTATCTATCTATCAATCCATTCATCCATATATCTCATTCTATTTCTCCTCCCTCCCTCTTTCTTTCTCTCCCTTCCTTCCATCCCATCTTTCTTTGCCTATCTCTTTTCTTCCTTTCTCTCTCCCTTTTTCTTCCTTTCCCTTTTCTATTTCTTTTCTTTCTTTTCTCTTCTCTCTCTATCTCTCAGTCTCTCTCCCTCCCTCTTTCTTTCTCTCTCCCTCTTTCCCTCTCTCTTCCTCTCTTTCTTTCCCTCTCTCTCCCTCTCCCTCTTTCTCTCTCTCTCTTTCCCTCTTTTTCCTTCTCTTTCTATCCCTTCTCTTCTTCCTTCTCTCTCTCCTTCTAAAGCTAGGAGAGGAGACCCACCTGAAACAAAGAAACAAACACACACACACACACACACACGCTTCCAAGTGCCCACCCGAAACAAACACACACACTTCCAAGCACCCACCTGAAACAAACAAACAAACAAAAAAAAAACACACACACACACACACACACTTCCAAGTGCCCGGCAGCATTGCTCATTACGAGAGTTCTTCCCGGCCAGTCTCCAGTCCCGCGTTGCCTGAAAAAGCCGGCAGGCAAAGCTTCTGGATCCAACAAAGGGGCCGTGGGCGGGACGCCCTCCCCTCCTGCTTTTGGGCGGGACTCCCTCCCCTCCTGCTTTTGGGGCTAGGAAATTCGAGGGGGGTGTGTGCCGCCCCCCCCCCCCCCCCCCCCCCCCGCCGGCAGTTCTGGGCTAAGCAGCTTGGGTTTGGCTTTCCTGAGTGCCTGAAACCTTACTTTCCTGCACCCTCCCCCAAAAAGACACAGTGGCTATAGGTTTTTTGCAGCAGCTTTGCTCCGCTTCTCCAATGCACCACCGCAGCCACATTCTAAGCACTGGCCATGGCACGCTGGTGCATTGAGTCCGCTGCACTGGAGGGACTTGCCCAAGCAAGTTTGAGTGGAGTGGTGCAGCACTCCAAAAGAGGCTGCTGGAGACCGAAAAAGAGTCGCCTCCAGCTGCCCCTTTTTCAGAGCAACCAGCTGGCTGTTCTCCTCCTTCTCTGCCTGTTTGCTCTGTATGGCCGAGGAAGAGGAGAGCAGCTGGCCAGTTGGGGGATACTTATTGCACTGTGAAAGAGGTGGTTGGAGGTGACTCTTTTTCGGTCTCCAGCCACCTCTTTCACAGCGCAAGAAGCTTCCCTCAACTAGCCGCTGCTCTCCTCCTCCTCGGCCATACAGAACAAACAGGCAGAGAAGGAGGACAGCAGCTGGCTGATTGGGGGATGCTTCTTCCTCTGAAAAAGGGGTGGCTGCACATGTGGTCACCTGCTCGCTGGCCGGGCTGGACTGGAAGAGATGCGTCTGCCAGGAGAAGGAAGAAAGTGTGCTCTGTGAGGGTGGGCAGGTGGGCGGATGTCCCGGGGCTGCTGCACATGCCCACAGTGTGCATGTGCAGCAGCCGTGGGACATCCACCTGAGTTGCACCATGGCTGCCATGTGGTAGGGAAAGCTAGGAGAGTGACAGGGCAAATGAATGATTGGACAACTGAGTTGGGGGCATGGCCAGACAGGGGTCACCACCGTTTCAGCGACCAATGTAAAATCACCGCTACCGGTTCACCCAAAGCAGTGCGAACCGATTGAATGCCACCTTTGATTACAGGGTCATAAACATTTTTTAGGAGTCAATAACTGGACTATAAGCAACTTTTATTGCTTTTTTCTTAAAGGAAATTATTTCGAAAATAATTTCTTAAAGCTCAATATATTCTTGCTTGAGACATAATTCACAGGTTACAAATATATGTGATGGCCTTTTGTTTTGATTCTTTAGATCTTACAAAATGAACAGGTGAATAGTTATTTCATTGCACTGCAACTGAGCCTTGATAAAGTATCCAGGTGAGCAAACAGAAAACACTGCATTTTATTGCAGTATATGAGTTTATTCTTGTTTGTTTTGTTATCCTCTTATAGACAATTAGGATTTTCATCTAGGAAAGCCCAATTCATTGGACTACTTCACATGACATATTGTCCTTATTGCTCCATGCAGAGAGTAACAGAATTGAATAACAGAATAGAAGGAGACCTTGGAAGTCTTCTAGTCTAATCCCTTGCTCTGGCAGGAAACCTTATACCATTTCAGGCAAATGTTGTCCAATATCTTCTTAAAAACTTCCAGTGTTGAAACACCCACAACTTCTGGAGGCAAGTTGACCCACTGATTAATTGTTCTGAAGGTCTCCTTAGTTCTAGATTTTTTTCTCTCCTTGATTAGTTTCCATCCATAATTTCCAGTAGGGGAAAGGGTTCCCTGTGCATGATCTCATTATGATGTAGTTTTTCTCAACTTGGCAACTTTAAGATGTATGCATTTCAAATCTCAGAATTCTGGCTGGGGAACGCTGGTTGGGGAATTCTGGAAACTGAAATTCCTATATTTTAAAGTTGCTAGATTTGAGAAACACTGTTCTAATGGGAGCTTTTGCTTTTACACTGATTTACAATAACTTGTCTTAAAGCTGGATGGATGGAACTCCTGTCCAATATGTTGCCTGGGCACCACATGAACCTAACTTTGCAAACAATGATGAAAACTGTGTGGTCATTTACAGAACTACAGGTATGTGGCTTGCTAATTGATTATACCAGTTTCAGGTATATTTCTGTATGTATTCTAAAATTCATGTTTTTAGTAATGGTGACATACTTCACAATGCAGAAAATATGAATGCACTTGTCTGATCATTATTCTGAGCTCAGAATATATGGATATAGAATCTGGAATTCCATTAGTCATTCATCATTAACTTGTATTTTTCAAGTAGTTTCTTAAGAACTAAAATAATGTTGCTCTTTAATAGCAAATAAAATAGAAAGGAATAAATTCCTTACTATAAATGGGACAAGTTATGCAGACTAGACAGTCTGAGTAATATGCAGGCTAAGAGGCATCTGGAGACAATGCTGTCTTGTGAGACACCCACCAATATTTGTTGTTGTTAGTTGCGAAGTCATGTCCAACCCATCATGACTCCATGGCCCCAACGTTTCTCCAGGCTTTCCTCTACCATCCCCTGGAGTCCATTTAAACTCACGCCGACTGCTTCAGTGACTCCATCCAGCCACCTCATTCTCTGCCATCCCATTCTTCTTTTTCCCTCAATCTTTCCCAGCATTAGGCTCTTCTCCAGTGAGTCCTTCCTTCTCATTAGGTGGCCAAGTATTTGAGTTTCATGTTCAGGATCTGGCCTTCTAAAGAGCAGTCAGGGTTGATCTCTCTAGGGCTGATGAGTTTGATCACCTTGCAGTCCAAGGGACTTGCAGGAGTCTTCTCCAGCACCATAGTTCAAAGGCCTCAATTCTTTGATGCACAGCCTTCCTTATGGTCCAACTTTTACATTGCAACCAAGAAAACCATAGTATTTTGAGCATAATTTTTCTAGCATGTGAAATTAGTGCAATAGTACGGTAGTTGGAGCATTCTTCTTTGGAATTGTAATGTAAGCTGACCTTTTCCAATCCACTGTTGAGTTTTCCAAATTTGCTGGCACATTGAGTGAAGCACTTTTACTGCATCATCTTTTAAGATTTTGAATAGCTCAGCTGGAATACTGTCACCTCCACTAACTTTGTTGTTGCTCAGACTTCCTAAGGCCCATTTGACTGCACCTTCCAGGATGACTGGCTCAAGGTTAATGACCACCCTATCATGGTTATCAGGGACATTACACTTGTTCTTGTATAATTTTGTGTAATTTTGCCACTTCTTAATCTCTTCTGCCTCTGTTAGGTCCCTGCCATTTTGGTCCTTTATCATGCCTATCATTGCATGGAATGTTCTCTTCATATCTCCAATTTTCTTGAAGAGATCTCTGGTCCTCTCTATTCTATTGTTTTCTTCTATTTCTTTGCACTGTTCATTTAAGAATGCATTCTTATCTCTTCTAGCTATTCTCTGGAATTCTGCATTCAATTGGGTGTATCTTTCTCTTTCTCCCTTGCCTTTTGCATCCCTTCTTTCCTCAGCTATTTGTAAAGCTTCCTCAGACAGCCATTTTGCCCTCTTGCATTTCTTTTTCTTTGGGATGATTTTAGTTGCTACTTCTTGTACAATGTTGCGAACCTCCATCCATAATTCTCCAGGCACTCTGTCTAACAGATCTAATTCCTTAAATCTATTTGTCACCTCTATTGTATATTCATCAGGGATATCATTTAGTTCATACCTGAGTGACCTAGTGCTTTCCCCTACTTTCTTCAATTTAAGACTAAATTTTGCAACAAGAGTTCATGATCTGAGTCACAGTCAGCTCCTGGTCTTGTTTTTACTGACTGTATAGAGCTTCTCCAACTTTGGCTGTAGAGCACACAGTCAATCTGATTTCTGTATTGACCATCTGGTGATGTCCATGTGTAGAGTTGTCTCTTGGGTTGTTGGAAAATAGTGTTTGTTATGACCATCGTATTCTCTTGACAAAATTTTACCAGTCTGTGCCCTGCTTCATTTTATAGTCCAAGGCCAAACTTGCCTGTTATTCTGGTTATCTTTTGGCTTCCTACTTTAGCATTCCAATCCCCATGATGATAAGGGCATCATTTTTTGGTGTTAATTCTTGAAGGTGTTGTAGGGCTCCATAGAACTGGTCAACTTTATCCTCTTCAGCACCAGTGGTTGAGGTATAGACCTGGACTACTGTGATGTTGAATGGTTTGCCTTGGATTCAAACTGTGATCATTCTGTCATTTTGGGGATTGTATCCCACTACTGCTTTTCCTTCACTTTTATTGTCAAGGTTCAGTTTTGCCATCTCTTGTTTGACCACGTCCAGCTTGCCTTGATTCATGGATCTTACATTCCAGGTTCCTAAGGAATATAGATCTTTACAGCATCGGACTTTCCTTTCACCACCAGATACACCCACAGCTGAGCATCCTTTCGACTTTGACCCAGTTGCTCATTCTTTCTGATGCTTCTATTACTAGCCCTCTGCTCTTCCCCAGTAGTATTTGGACACCTTCTGACCTATGGGGCTCATCTTCCAGCATCGTATCTTTTTGCCTTTTGGTCCTGTCTATGGGGTTTTCATGGCAAAGATACTGGAGTAGGTTGCCATTTCCTTCTCCAGTGGATCAAGTTTTGTCAGAGCTCTCTGCTGTGACCTGTCTGTCTTGGGTGGCCCTGCATGACATAGCTCATAGCTTCATTGCGCTATGCAAGCCCCTTCGTCATGACAAGGCAGTGATCCATGAAGGACACCCACCAATATAGTGACCTCAATTCACTTCTAGCATGGATGAATCCAGGGTTGTGGATTATCTAGATCAGGGCTGTTAAACTTGTGGCCCCTGGGGCCAGATACGTCACATGCTGGCCATGTCCACATCTGGTTTATTTTTATTTTTAATTAATATTTTTATTTTAAATACAAATAATACAAACATAATACATATACATCTAAATACAAAAAAGAAAAAAGAAAAAGAAAAATGCAGTGCACCCCACTCCTGGAGACCATTTTTTTCTTATAATTCTTCTATAACAATTAACAGATTTACTATATATTCCAATTGTGCCCTTATCCAAAATGACATATATTCTTGAGTAGGTTTATTCCCTTTGCCTTCCACCAACATTAATTTTATAAAATCCCCCCATATTTCATTAAAATTGTTTACTTAAATCATCCCTTTTTAAAATTTTATTTCTGTTGTTAATTTATCATTTGTTGCCATACTCCAAATTTCATTATACCACTCATTTCTTTGAATATCCTAATTTTGTCCCCAATATTTAGCCATCACTAATCTAGCAGCCATTATCAAATAGCGAAGGGGGGGAGGAAATCATGATACGTCACATGATGACACCAGGATGATGCGAGTTTGACACCCCTGTTCTTGATAAATGCTTCTCTAATGATCTCCTTATTTGTCAACAGATGCAATAGCAGCTCATGAAGTTGTAGGTAAAATTTGATTTTACCTATTGCCATGATACATTAGAAATGTGTGGTGCTTTAATTGCATGGTTGTGTGTACCTTCTTGACTGTTTGACCACTCTGTAGTCCCCTTCCCCTGCTCAACCATTTATTTTATCTTGCTTAGGACTTTGGAATGATATAAACTGTGGATATCCATCTTCTTTCATATGTGAAAGACATAATAACTCAATCAATGCAACTATTGCTCCTACACCACCTTCCATTAAAGGAGGATGCCCTGAATCTTGGCTTTTGTTTGAAAACAAGGTGCAGTAATTATTTCTTTCCTTTAAAAAAAAAGAATCACTCCAAGAAACAAAAAGATAACAAGACAAGAGGGATTTTCTATGGAAGATTTTTTTAGGCAATTAAAATAAATGCCTTGAAAAGATGGTATCACAGAGGAATTTTGTGCATATGTACATAAAATAAAGGTAAACACTCATCAACCTTATCATGTAAACTACATGGTACACTTGAGCAGATAAATTAATTCTACTTTACTGTAAAGCTACATGAGCAAATCTTGAAAATCTGAAAGTACAATTCTTCTATTATCACCTTTACTGGCCAAGGATGTAGGTAAAGTCCCTTCTGAGCCTCTTTTTCTGCACACTATCCAGCGCTACCATGCTGCCTCTTATCTGATAATTCCCTAGGCAGCATATCTTCACAAACATACAGTCTCCCAAAGTCTTTCCCACATATTTCCCAGTACAAGGCTCCTTCACATTAAACTTGAGTGCCAATGTCATTTGCAAAATAACAGAATCACATGGTTGGAATGTACTTACTACTTTTCTTGAAATGGCAGAAGCTCTGCAACATTATCATCTTGCAAGCTCAGTCCATTTCATCCATTTGTGAATCATTGCAATGCACATATGCAAATGGATAGGGCTAACATTGTTACACTGCTTTTATAGGTTTGGCTCTCTTTGCCCCTCCCTCCACAGGTAGCAATATCAGCTGCTGCACTTTCTTTGGCAGCAATAAGGAAACACATTGTCCTAGTGATTTTCTGGAATCTTCTTTTTATTTCCCTGTAGAGCCTGGTGTCAAACTCGGGGCGTCACGTTGCCATCCTGGGATTTTTTCACAACATTTTTTTCCCTTCGCGGAGATGGGGTGGGTGTGGCCTGCACATGCCATATCCAGCCCACGGGCTGCCAATTTGACACCCCTATAATAGAGGATACATGTCAATTTCCAAGTACCAACCAGATCCAAATTTTCAAAATCAACCAATACAGTTAATTTTATAATAAAGCCAATTATTGGTACATTGTGCAAAATATTCACATGGTGCAATAAGATAGTCTGTTTGTTTGTAGGATTCACTGGGTTAGGGATTTTTCTTTTTTGCCTTCACTGTGAGTTGTGTTGGGGGGGGGGGGGTACACGAAGGGAGACTCAGCCAATCTCATTGTACGCATATTGTACTCTGACAATAAAGGTTGATTTGATTTGATTTGGTATAATGATTAAGATCTGGTCTAGAAACCAGAAGATTGAATTATAATTTCCCCCTCCTTAGGCATGAAAGGAGTAATATAAATGTTCTCCACTTTGAATTACTCATAAACAAAGAAGGGACAAAAATTAGAATTAGAATTCTTTTTATTGGCCAAGTATGATTGGACACACAAGGAATTTGTCTTGGTGCAAATGCTCTCAGTATACATAAAATAAAAGATATATTCATCAAGAGTCAAGAACCATAAGGTACAACACTTAATGATAGTCATAGGGTACAATAAGCAATCAAATCATACTAAGAAACAGTCCATATAAATCGTAAGGATACAAGCAACAAAGTTACAGTCATACAGTCACAAGTGGGAGGGGATAGGCGATAAGGAGTGATAAGAAGATTAATAGTAATAGTAATCTAATCATTAATCAAGAATTAGATGCTGCTACTCAAAATCCAGGTGAATGTATTTAGAAAAGCACTTGGGAGGTTGCTCTCTGTTGCAAACACTGATTTCTAGATGACTTCCCCAGCATAGATCTGTGTGGTCTACATCTTGATAACTTGGCTTTCCCTCAGGCTTTGGATCAAAAAGGAATCAAAGTGGGTAATGTGTTTGACTTCTCACTGTTGTTGTTTTTCTCCTGATTGTTTGGTTTTTAAATTGTATTTTATTGTTGTTTTTATTGTCTGTGATCATATACATTTCTAAAATAATAATAAATCTTTAATTTTATTTGTCTTTATCTTTGCACTTGGATTTTTTTTTTAAAAAAAGTGTTATAAATTCTTTGGATTTAATCAAGAAGACCAGAAAAATTGGAAAAATGCACGGAAAGATTGTCAGAAAGAAGAATTTGGAGGAAACCTTGTTGCAATACTCAATAAAAGGGTACAAGGTATATAACCACTATATCAATGAATAAAAGTTTACTTACTTGTGAAATTTAACATCATCTTTGGGGTGATTATGTTTTATGGAACAAATATGCCATTGATAATACTACCTGACTACTTCTATGGAGCTTACAATACTAGTTTGAACCTGGAATTTTAAATGAAAAGTTATAATACCTTAATTCATACTTTCCCCTTTATTATTACTGCTAGGATTTTCTTCCTCCTCTTTGATTTTCTTACTGTTAAGTAGACATAATGATGAACCTGTGTTTGCACCCAAGCACATATAGTTGTAAAAGTCATTTTTCATCTTTAAGATAAAATGGAAAATTGTGATTTGTTAGAAATTACAGAAGAAAGTTTCAAATGTTCGTTTTCATACTAAAAGCAAAGGAGCGAAGGAATTGCCTGCTATATCAGTGGTATCAAATTTGCAATCCATGGGACATACATTTCATGTTCTGCCCATGCCCACATCCAGTTTAGCGAAGAGAAAAAAATTACAATACATCATGTGACAATGCGAGTTTGTCACCCTTGTGCTATAAATATTTATTAGAGATGTGCAAAAAAATTTCTTTGCTTTGCTTTGCATTTTCCCTATTGACTATTCATGCTAATTCAGCTAGGAACAGCCCTGAAAAAGCCATGGCTGCTTTAACAATTTGAAAAAAAAGATGCTTTATATGTGCTCTTGAACACTGAAACACATCACTTTCCAAGTATTTACACAACCATAATATTTATAGATTTTTGCAGTCATAAAATGTGTAAATAATTCAGAGTGGCTTCTGTGATTGGGGTGCTATACCCATTGATAACACACCCACACATACGTTTTATGATTCAGTTGTGTTGATGTAGGATCAAAGGGAGATTAAAATATTTTAATCAATACATAAATACATGTGCTATTCATATACATTATAAAAGCTTGAGCTCACTTGTGTCAATAATGGCAAATTGATGTATCTAAAAGCAGTAGCTCAGTAGAATTATAACTCCAGGTGTGCTTATTTATTTCTCACAATTCATTTTCCAAACCAAATTTCAGACTTCAGTAATTTTTATTTCATATACTCATTATGCATTTATTCAAGTCTATGATTCAATATGTTTTATTCCATTTCAAAATTCTTATTTGATTAAGTATTTGCTTTGGTTTCATACTGTCCCAAATGTTAGGTATGTGTACATTCTCTGATCACATTATTCTTCCACTACACTTTCTTTTTAGCTTTTCTCACCTTCCATTTAAATAAATTCCAAAGTGATGTATGGATAGGACTAAATGACATCAATGAGGATCAAATGTACCTCTGGACAAATGGAAGAGGAGTCAGTTACACAAACTGGGAGAAAGGATTCCCACTGAGTTATGGGCCAAACAGTGTAGGTATTTGACTACAGGTTGGAATCTGGAAACTTCTCCCAACTTCCTTGCTTTGTCTTTTTCCCTTCAACCTGTGTTATATGAGTCTTAAATTAGATTCATATGATGAGAAGAAAAAAAGCAACATAAATAGGCAAAATAATTTTATGGATAACTACTAGTGATTATTGGTTTGTTTTGTTTTGATTCAGATTTGAAGGCATCTAGAAGCACACTTACAGTTTCTAAAACTAGATGTGTATCTTTTCTCAGAATTATGTTGTAACTGCAGGTGGCAGCTAAGCAATCACAGGAAAAAGTGGGGCTGCTTTAAAGAGTTGAGGACAGGGCCTATGTTAGCATCCCATGAAGTCAGGGTCAAAAATTTAACAACTGGTTCTCTGCCTGGAGGCTGGGTGGGCATGGCCATGGTGGGCATGGCCTAATTGGCCTCCTGCACCACTCTGGGAGTGAAAATGGGCTGTGGGAGGGAAGGTGTTTCCGCCCTCCCTGGGCTCTGGAGGCTGAAAACAGCCTTCCCGTTTCCAGCCTTACCCAGCTTTGGAGGATTTCAGGAGGGCGAAAATGACCTCCTGAAAGGGTGAGAATGGCCTCCTCGGGTTTCGGAAGCTCTCTGGAGACTGGAAATGGGCCTGTTTCCAGCCTTCTGGAACTTCTGTGAGGCCCATTTTTCACCCTCCCCAGGCTCCAGTGGCTTTCCTCGAGCCTCCAGGAGAGTGAAAATGAACTCCCAGGGCTCCAGAGACTCTCTGGGGAAACAGGCCCATTTCCAGCCTTCTAGAATTTCCAGGAGGCCTGTTTTTCACCCTCCTCATGCCTCCACATGGCCCTGCACTTACCTGCAATCCAAAATGGGCCACTCAGGGACTCCTGGGAGGGGCAGGGCAGGATGGGCAGAGCCAGCCAGAGGTGGGATTTGCCAGTTCGCTGAACTGGCCATAAAATTAATAACCAGTTTGCCGAACCAGTACAAACTGGTAGCAGTCCACCCCCGCATGAAGTCTGAAGCACCTTTCAGCTCCATTGCACATCTCTCTCAGCAGAATAAATCAGCGGAAGCAATATTGAAAATTAAATCTTGAGGTACTGCATTTGACAGTAGGACTTAAAGCAGTGTTTCTCAACCTTGGCAACTGTACGAAGTCTCAGTTTTAACTCCCAGAATCTGCTAGCCAGTTTGCTGATCTAAATAATCAGCTAGCAGGGACAAGTGAGGGACAGGCTGGAGAAAACAGTTAAGGATAGTAACTGGGCAAGTGATTGTTCTGATTGTTACCCAGGCAAAAGCTGATCTTGACCAATGTCCTCTGTGAGGAAAACAAATAGGCTACCTTTGTGAATTTCCTTGATACATAGCAGGTCTCGTACTAAGGCAGCATACAGTATAAAAGCAGCTATTACAGCTGGTATTTCCTTATTCTATCTCATATCTTGAGAAATACATCCAACTATGTTTCCAAGAACATCCTGTGGAGCTACACCTACCTTTTAATTGGAGAGTAGGTGGGTGGGATTTACCATTTGCACCATTTGATTAGTGATATCATGGGTATGTGATATTCTCACTTTTGCATATTTCTGGAAACCATGGTGATTCATTCTGTACAGGAGGTTCTTGATTTATGGCCACAATTGGAACCAGAAATTCCAATTAAATGAATCATGATCAATTTTACAAAAAATCAAGGTTGTTAATCAAGTCATTGCAGTCATCACTAAGTGTCATAAGTGAATCTGCCTTTCCCCATTACTTTGCTTGACAGAAGCCTGCTGGAAAGGTTGCAAATGGTGATCATATGACCCCAGGATACTATAACAGTGTAAATATATGTTGATCACCATGTGTCCCAATATGGATCATGTAACTGTGGAAAATAATGCAATGGTTGTAAGGACTAGTCCTATGTCAATTTTTTTCAGTGCTGTTGTAACTTAAAATGGTCACTAAACAAGTGGTTTTAAATTGAGGACTACCTATAACGTTCTCTACCAACTTCCCCTGTTTTCCCATAGCTTTTAAATTGGCATGATTGAGGAATTAAGGAGTTTATTCATACCTCATTCAACATTTATTGTTTTCCATTTCGTATAGGAAGATTGTATTGCAATGACATCATTGCCTTACAAAAGTGCAGGCTTATGGAGAAATAGTTATTGCTACTATAACAAAGGGTACATATGCCAAGCCAACGTTCGTGAGTATTTTGCTTATTTTTGTTTCCTCACCTTTTTTTTCTTTTTGAAAAGAAAAGCCTTCTTTGATTTAAAAATCTCTACCTTTTCCCTTCAATGTTTCAATACAACAAGGCCATGATGGTTTTTAAATCTCAGAATATAAATATGGTGTGAATAATAATTAGGTGTTTTATTTATTTACTAAGACATGCCTCTCCACTTGAAAAATGACTAAGAAGCATAACATTTGATTAATGCAATAATAAAGTAAAAATGCATGATTCATTCATGTAAAATTTTATCAGTCACTAATTGCCAGGACTTACATATTTTGAAGAATCTTTTGTTCCAGGGAAGAGAGATGACCAGGGAGAATGTTCTCCTATGTGGTCCTTGGTGATGAGACCTAAAGCCAGTCTGGTCTACCAGATCTCACTAGATAGGCAAACTTTTATTCAGAGCAGATGATTGCAAAGATACTTAAGTCCTGATCAGGGGTGAGCTTCAAAAATTTTAGCAAAGGGTTCTCTGCCTGGTTGCTGAGTTGGCGTGGCCATGGTGGGAGTGGCCTAGTCGGCCTCCTGTACCATGGTAAAGGGGGCATTTTTGCCCTTTCCGGGCTCCAGAGGCTTTTCTCAACCCTCTGGGAGGGCAAAAATGGCCTCCCTGGGTTCTGGAGGCTCTCTGGAAGCTGGAAATGTGCCATTTCCAGCCTTCCCAAACTTCTGGGAAGCCTGTTTTTTGCCCTCCCCGAGCATCCGTGTGCGCCCTGCACTTACCTGCATCCAAAATGGGCTGCATGGGGACTCCTGGGAGGGGTGGGAGGGGCCAGCCAGGTGTGGGATTTGGGGGTTCTCCGAACTGCACAGAATCTTAGCTAGAGGCTCTCCTGAACCCCTGCGAACCCCCAGCAACCCACCCCTGGTCCTGATCCATGCAGTGCTTTAAGAGTGACAATTGCCATCTTGAATTGCACTTACTGAGTAACTGGGTTAATCCCCTTACTTGAGCTGCTGCAGTTGGGACTAACTGTAACTTCTGAGTGATCTTCAAGGACAATCCCATGCAGAGTGAATTGCATTAGTCCAGCCAAGAAGTGTGTAGGTATCATATTTATTACCCAGTCATTAAATAAATAAATTTTTTTAAAAAAACAGGGAGCAGTGGGCTTCGTTCAAACTTCCCACTGTTTTCTATGACCAAAATACCTGAAAGTGTTTCAAGTGGGGCTATTTGCTTTAACCCTGAAATAAAAACACACTTCTCATTTTATGCCCAAAACAAATGTCAATTTACCCCGAACACCATTTCCCCTGTATGTCTGAAAAAGGGTTTTCTCATTTTGCATTTTATGTCTTCATATTTTTGAAAAGAGCCTTACAATGTTCTTTTTCTTTTGTAGATCCCAAATATTCTTTTCTTCCATCCACCACCCCAGAGCAGCGGTTCCGTTATAGAAATAGCAGCTACTTCATAATTGAAGCCAAAATGACATGGGAAGATGCAAAACAAAGTTGTGAAAGGAGAGACTCGAGTCTTGCTAGCATTTTAGATCCCTTTAGCCTCTCATATCTCTGGCTAAAACTAAAACAAAAAAGGATTGTATGGCTTGGCCTCAACAGTAATCTGGTAAATGCAACTTGTATCAGTCCACAAAGTTCTATCTATTCAAATTTTTATTTGTTCAATTATTTTGGAGCATTCAAGAATATGCTATTAATTTTGGGTGGCAGTTGTTCCATTCAGTGGAAATGAAAGTTAGAAAACTACTGCAGATGAATGAAATGACTATTTGCTATACCTTCCAGTCAGTCTAATACAATTTTGCCCTCCTAGGCTAGGGTCTACACATACTAATATTTAATTATTTATTTGTTGAATTGATTTGATTTCTATAGCCACCCCTTTCAGCAAACAACTCTGGGTGGCTCACAGTTCAAAAACATATAAGTACAATTAAAATGGTAAAAGTGTTTTAAAACAACAAAAACAGTAAAAGCCATTAAAATGCTAAAAAACATGACAATGTCTAATTTGAATTCTTGCAAAGCAAAACATATGATCTGTTAACAAAATGTCCAGGAGCATACCCAGGTCTTTCAAGGCTAAGGGAGAGTAACAGAGTTGGGGCCATTCCAATCTCTCGGGATGGAGGATGTTCCACATAGCAGACACTGCTGCAGAAAAAGCTCATCTTCTAGTCTCTAGAATATTCTTTGGCTGACTGGATCTGCAGTATGCCCATCCTATTTGATCTAATTGGATACATAGAAACTCTTTGAAAAAGATGATCCCTCAGATTCCTGGTCCCAAGTTATGTAGGGCTATATATGTAATTACCAGCATCTTGAATTCTACCTTGAAACATATTGGTAATATCCCAGTGTTTTTAATCATATATTTGTTAAATACATACTTAGTGGCCAAGTTCAAAATGATGCTAATATATAGCATGTGGATTCTCAGAACAGACTAAATAACAAAGTAAGCAAACCTTTTTCTGAAGCAGTTCTTGTTCTTTCCACTGCTAAAACTTTTAACCAAGTCAGACTTTAATTATGAACTAAATTTATAAATGACTTCATGAGCATTTGACCTTTGGCAAAGTTATTGGAAATTGGAATTTGAAACCAAAGAATTCTCTTGGTTCATGACAGCAAACGTGAAGGCTTAGTTCTGTTGTGAAATCATCTATAAAAACCAACCTACATTGCATTTACTATTCATATTTCATATTGGATTGCAGTTGTTACTGCAAAAAAAGACTAAAATCTGACAGGATCTATTTCCAGGGAAGCAATAATGTAACATTCCTAGATCAGCCTAACGTGCTCAATTATAGTGTATCTCATAAGAAATATGTCTCTCATTCAATGTGTGGTTTTTGTTGGTTGGTTTTTTTAGACTGGCGGGCAATATATATGGATTGATAAATTCCGGATGAAATATACTAAATGGGCAGCAAATGAACCAAAACAAAAATTAGGCTGCGTTTATATGGACTTGGATGGGACCTGGAAGACAGATTCGTGCAATATAAAGAATTTTCCTCTTTGCAAATATCCCAAAGGTAAGTTGAAGGATAGGTTAAGATTTTTGTTCATGGTTTCATATTCAGACTAAAGCAGTTTTCTCCAGCCTTGGCATCTTGTAGGTATGTTGGACTGCTACAAATTGGAATAATTTAGAAATGGTGCCATAGACATTTAGATTACTTTTTGAAGGGAATGTACCTCCATTTAAGCTGTGAAATTTTGCACAACTCTAATTTTTAAAGACTTTGGGAATATAATAGACTGCACATAGTAACATATATGCCAGGCAGCCTTTGTCAGCATGAATAATATTGATGCTTGCTAAGAGTTGTAATTTAGCAATGTGGGGAAGGGGGTGGATTCCAAATTTTATTCCTCTGATGTAGGGCGTATTCATTATTTAGCTTGCAAAAACTTAAGACTGGAAAGACTTTTTTATACGATGGTTAAAATGCTGGTCTAGATACCAGGAGACTGGGAGTTCTAGTCCTGCTTTAGGCATGAAAGCCAGATGTATGACTTTGCACCAGTGACTCTCTCTCAACCTAATTCACCTTTACATAGCTTTTATTGTGGGGAAAATAGAAGGAGTAAGGAATTCTAATATGTAAACATAAAAATAAATAAATGCAACATGTATAGCTCTGATAATGTTTAGGAGAAGACCTGGTCCTTAAACCTTACCTGGATGGGAAGACTTCTGCCTTTTTTATTCCAGTTAAGTCAGTTTGTGAACTATAAACAGTTTTTAAGGAGGAAAGAGGCTTGAAAACTCAGTCTGCTCTTTAAGTAGTTTGACTTTAAAAGACTACTCTACAGATTGGAACACAATTATTTTTCACATGCTGCATTCTTTCAGTTTTGTGATCTATATTTGGAGTCAATAACTGTATGCCAAAAAAGAGCATATTAGGAATAGATATACATCCACCAGTGCATATACTAAGCAGTATATTTGTAGAAGTGTAAAGATAGTAACCACAATTAATGTGGTCACTATAAAAAAATGGGGGCATGCATAAGCACACCGGCGTGCCTACCGTCTCTGTCATATTGTTTCTTTTATTTTTCTTATATGTATCCATTTCATGTATTCATAGCTATGTTTATACTTATACCTATTATCTTGTAAGCTATTGACAAATCAAATCAAATCAAAACAATAATCTAATTAAAGCTCTATCTATATTTCCCTGTTGGTGTAAAACTAAAAAAGTTAACAGTAACATAAAAGTAAAAAGGACAAGGATGCTTTCTAAAAACACTGTAGTTTTGACAAGGTTCCTCAAATAATATTTCAATAAATTAATTAGAATTAAAAATTATATTGCTTTTAAAAACAGTGTTTCCACCTACTGTACCACCTCAAGAACCAGGAAACTGCCCACTTGCAGTGGAGAAATCTTGGGTTCCATTCCGTGGTCATTGCTATCACTTTGAAGCCTCATCAAAGATGAGTTGGCCAAAGGCATCATTAGCTTGTTTGCAATTAGGTAAGTGTTTCCATTCACTAATTATAATACCTGACTTTATTTTAAAGCAAGTAGAAGAAACAATTATTGAAGAAATACTAAGATTTGCAAATATTTTAACAGAAAGGATATGGATTCCTTAGAACATAGAATAACAGGATTGAAAGGGATCTTAGGGGCCTTCTATGTCCAACTCCCTACTTGAGAAGGAGACCTTATAAAATTCCAGACAAATTGCTGTCCATTCTCTTCTTGAAACCCTCCAGGGATGGAGCATCCATAACTTCCGGAGTTAAGTCATTCAATTGATTAATTGTTTTTATGTCAGGAACTTTCTCCTTAGTTTTAATGATCTTTCACCAATTATTTAATGATCTTTCACCAATTATTTCTTGTTCTGCTCTCAGGTACTTTGGAGAATAGGTCAATCCCATCTTCTCTGTGATAACCCCTCAAGTACTGGAAGAACCAGGAAATTGCCTAGTTGCAGTGAAGTTAAATTTACTTAAAGGGCATACTAAAGTACTGCTATCATATCATCCCTAATTCTTCTCTTTGTTAGAAGAACATACCTAGTTCTCTGAATTTTTCATTGTATGGTTTGGCTCCAGACACCTCATTGTATTTGTTGTTCTTTTCTACATTCTTTTTAGGGTCCCAACATTTTTTTAAATTGTGGTGGACCAGAACTGGATGCATTATTTCAAATGTGGTTTCCCCAGTGCAATATAAATTAGTACAATCTTTTCATGTGATCTTGAGACTGTCTCTCTATTGATGCAATCTAGGACCACTTTGCCTTTTTTGATACCTGCAGCATACTGCTGGCTCATATTTAAGTGGCTCAGATCTAAGATCCCTTTCACAGTTACTACAATTAAGCCAGGTGCCACCTATTCTATACCTGTGCACTTGGTTTTTCTTGCCTATGTGTAGGACCTTTTCTCATTGAATTGCATTTTGTTGGATAGAACCCAGTGTGCAAGTCTGTCAATATTTCTAGGTACTCACAAACATGCTGCTTGATTATTTTTTTGAGCATTTTCCCTAGTCTCAATATAAGACTGATTGGTCTGTAGTTTCCTACGTTCATTCCCTCCTCGATTTTGTATGCTAAAAGCACATCAGCTCTTCTCTAGTCCTCTGGTAGTTCCTCTATGCTTCAGGAGCTTTGAAAAAAATTGTTTCATAGTTCTGAGATCATGTCTGACAGCTGCTCCTGAACACTGATATATAATCTATCTGATCGATAATTTGAACTTGTCTAGAGTGGATAGGTGTTGTCTTACTGTTTTCTTGCTTATTTTTATTTTTATTCCTAATCTATCTTTTATGGTATCCCTTTGACAGGCTGAACTATTTTTTTTTCTTTTTGCATAAAGACAAATACAAAGAATAAATTAAACAGTTCTACTTTCTTTCTGCTACCTTATCACCTCTTTGCCATCTTCTCCCATTAGTTAACTGATTACTTCCTTGGCTTTTTCCTTGTTTCTTACATTTGAATTTTTTTTATTATTATTATTCTTGACATTTGTTGCAACTCTTAATTCATGCTTAACCTTAGGAGGTTAATTCTGTATTCTGTTTAATTATATGTCCCTCTTTCTATTTTTTATATTTATTCTTTTTTCTCAGTTTGTAAGAGAGTTCTTTATGCAACCATGCTGATTTCAACTTGGGTCTGATCTATTTGTTCCTCATACTTTGAGCATTGGTATATAGTCATCGGAATCCCTTATGGCCAACCCTGTATTTGTTTCCTATTTCTCCTATTTTGTATCCGAGTTCACCTTTCTTCTCACCACTCCCTAGTTCACTGTTTGATTAATTGTCTTGTGACTTATGCTTGTGATTAGTTCCTAAAATTGGTTCCCTGCCCTTGCAGTTTTAGTTTAAAGCCCTTTAGAATTTATGAGCTGATTGTTTTCCACACACATTCTTCCCAGTTCTTGTGATGTGCAGCCTGCCCTCTGCCAGGAGCCCTCATGTATAGTAAGATAGCTTCCTGATCTAGGAATCCAAAGGTCTCTCAACAGCACCATCCTTTATGCCAGTGGTTTACTTCCTCATTGGAAGTTTACCTTCCATTGGAAGTACATATGAAAATACCACCTGTGCTCCTAACTCTTGCTTTTATGACAAGCTGCTGATAGTCTCTTGATATTGTTTTCAGGATCTTTGTCATATTATTCATCCCTACATGAATAACGCAGGGCAAAGGATTGCTGTTAAAGAAATGGAGGTTTGTCAAAAGAAGTGAAATGGCTTTCTCTAATCACATGACCAATTTGTTATACAGAAATGAGATTTGGTCATGTAAGGAGAAACATAAAAGTAAATTACTTGCAGTTGGAATGGGGTACTTAAGGAGTGAGGACTGAATACAAAAGTATGTGATCAAGACAATAGAAATATGAAAGAAGAATAATGAACTGGATTGAGAGGGAATGAATAAGGTTCTAATATAAAAAACTAATAGTTTTTATATGAGGTAAAAGTGAATGAGTGGGGAAGAAGGGGAAGTCCAAGAAATTTGTCAATGGTTAAAATTGATGAGATCCTTAGAAAGATAATTTTAAAGAAGAAGCAACTTATAATTTGATGTGTGGAACCAGAGGAAGCAAGGATAATCTGTAGAAATAGAAAGATATGAGGAAATACTAAGTGTTGCTATAAACTAGATTTAATTTCCCTCTTTATTCATGCTTTAATTTCTTTGGTTTACCACTGCATTTTGCAGAGGGAATAGCATAATGGGTAGTGATGTGTGTTCTTTATCTGAAAACTTAAGTTATTGGCTTGATCAGGGTATCCATACATAAAAAGTGAGGAATCAAAGAAAAAAACATGTTTTGACATTAAACAAAATCTTTCTTTCAATTAGCTACTCAACTTGTTATGGGTCAAAAAATATTCAAATAGTATTTTCTCTGAGAATGTTTGCTTATTTTTTTACAGATGCCTCTCTGGTTTCAGTAATGGATACAGCAGAAGCAAACTTTCTAACAGAAATTACAGAAAATCTTGAAAGCAAATCCCAAGCATTTTGGATAGGAATGTTCAAAAATCTAAATGGTATATTTTAATTTTAATTTTAAGCTCAGTGCTGTTTGTATTGCAAATATTTTATTATAATCACAGTTTGGATCTTCTGGCAAGTACCAAAGAAGGTACTTGATTGTACGTAAAAAAAGGAGGAAAACAGATAAAAATGTAACATTGTTATGACTTCTAATTATAACTCAACATTTATGGTTGGGGATGAAAGCATATTTGAGATATTTCACACAGTCTTATTCTAATTAATTTATTTAGCTAAGTGGCTGATGAGTCAGTGCTAGAATATTTTTTAAATAAAAGCCTTTTTTTAAAGCATTAATCAGTAGGGATATGTACGCATATGTGTGTGCATGTATGGTTAAGTGTTTCATTGATTATGCTGGGAATTTGAGACTACAGTTGAGTTTCAATACATCACAGAGCATTTTGTTACATGTCCTAGTTTGGGGGGGAGGGGGAGTTGCATCAAACATTAAATGCAAAATGAGATGATTTACCCATTATGTTAAAGTAAAAGGACATTTAGTTTTGGCTTGGAGGAACAAATTTGAGCTGCTCCCTAAAAGCTTTTAGAGAGTTTCCCCCTAAAGTATATACGGTAATATAACTTTAATTATATATAAATAAACATTTAATGAGGGGTGACGGTAGGGAATTATTATTTTTATTGTTTCTATATTGGGTTTTATTTTTTGTAAGCTGCCCAGAATCACTGAGTGAGTGGGCTTTAAATAAACTTTCTAAATAAATAAAACATGACATCAAATTTATTTTTCTTATATCTGGTTTTGTAATAAGATCATACAAATAAGAAAAAAAAATGGATTATGTCATCATAACTGAAGGTCCACTATTTTATGTGATATCACAAGTATCAAAGAGGCAGAGTTTGCAAAATGGTGTTTCCATAGATATTTCATTGTCTGCTACCCATTGATGCCTCTATGGATACCCATAGTTCATCCTTTGGGGGTGGGCTGGCCCAATAATGTTTTTGCATGTACCCTTGGCCTGTTATACGATACAATAGAATAAGGACTTTGTCTAAAAAAATTAGAGTGATGTATATATCCAACTTTGTGCTTTGTAAATTATGATTCATGGTTTTGTACATTTATGAATTCAACAGTATGGCAAATTTAAATAACATGTTTAAAAAAATTGGCACATGATTTTGTTCTGCCTAATTATGTAACACTGAATGAACAGAAAAGAAATCAGTACCAGCTTCATTTTATTAAATTGGCAAAAGAAAAGGATATTTCCAAATTCTAGTGCTGTATGTATATCTAGCTGGGAAAGAGTCTTCCTGCTTTACAATTAAAACCACATTTGTTTTAAATTAAAACAAATTTAAATTTCTAATAACTGCAGTGTATAGATATGTATAATATACATGACTAGAGATTTCTTAATTTTGGTTTAAATGTAAAAGTTTTTAAATGGAACCATGCACTTAATCATAAAATAGGGTAGGTAGGTAGGTAGGTAGGTAAGTAAGTAAGTAAGTAAGAAATAAGTTAAAAGGAAGGAAGGAAGGAAGGAAGGAAGGAAGGAAGGAAGGAAGGAAGGAAGGAAGGAAGACATTGCTAGAGCTAATTATCTTGGCATATTTTCTAACCCAACATTAGGTGATTGGTTATGGATTGACAATGCTGTTGTGAACTTTGTCAACTGGAACACTGGAGAACCTTCAAGTCAGAATGATGAAGATTGTGTAGAAATGTTTGCTTCAAATGGGATTTGGAATAATGTTTATTGTAATTCATATCTTGGATATATTTGCAAAAAACCAAAAAGTAAGTAATACGTTATATGTTCTTACTATTTTATTTTATTATTTTATTTTCTTAGTTTTTCTCCTTTTGTCCTTTTTGGTCACAACATAATTGAAAAAGTGTAGGAGAAAGGGAACAAATGGAATATAAGTATACATCAGCAACTATAAGATGATCTTCATGTTTATCTTGAACTTGAATGAAATCAGTCTGGAAAAGAATTTCCAGTTAATTCACCTAGCCTGACCACCAAATTGACTTCCTGCATTTAATATGACCTGCACTAGCAATAATAGATATCCATAGGAAGAGAAAGAAAGAAAGAAAAATCAACACCTTTGAATATCTATAGAGATTCTCAGTCATCCAGGTCATGGTTGTCCCAAAGGTGCTTTTTCAAGAGCCAACTGGACTTTCTGTTTTTTTTTTTTAAAAAAAAGATGTATCACTTCTCACCCCCACTACCCACTAGAGAAGCTTCTTTGATGAGAAGCGAAACATCTTCAAAGAAAAACCAGAAAGTCCAGTTGCCTTTTGAAAAAGCATCTTTGGGACAACACCTCTGAAATTTTGTAAAGAGATGAATGACAAATCTCTTCAGAGGATTCAAGCAAGAAGATTTATGAGGAGTCCATGTTTTTTCACCTTACAAGAAAAGAAGTCACATATTTTCCACTCCTACACAATGTTTTGAGTACAGTAGGAATCGAAATTATAGCATCCAAACTGATGGCCATCCAGCCTTTGCTTGAATATATGAAGTGAAGGGAAACTATCTTGGTAATTGAACCATATACAGAACTGTTTTGCTATTAGGATGTCTTTTCTAATATTCAACCTGTTCTGTACAGTCATTTACATACTCGTAAACGCCGCGCGGTGATTGGACAAGATGCACGGCGAGCTGATTGGCCGAGCGAGCCGCAGTGATTGGCCCGCCGTGAATCTCCCGCGATTGGTGAAAACTAATCGCGGGAGATTCAAAGCGGTGTCATTGGCCGCGGCCGCCGCAGCCAAAGAATAAAAGCCGCCGCTTTTCCCCTTACGAGCCGAGCCGATCTCGGAGCAAATAAAGAGCTGAAACTAAGTCACTGGCTCCGAGTCTATTCTTCCACGACGGACACGACACTGGCGAGGAAGGTGGGATCCCAAGCCTAAATCCCGAAAGCATGTGTCTGGAGGAAATAAGACCGACGAGATGGCCAGCATCGCCCCACCAGCGCCTTTCAACCCCGCTACTGAGGATTGGGAATCATACACCGACCGATTCCTGATGTTCCTCGAAAGTAGCAACCTAAAGGACGCGAATGGGCAGAAGAAAAGAGCCGTCTTCCTAACGCACTGCGGGCCCGCGGTGTTCAAGATGGCGAAGGCCCTTACGAAACCCGAAGACGTGAAAACGATGGACTGGGCCGATCTCGAACCCTTACTCCGAAACCACTATGCCCCCGCCGTGCCCACCCTCATCAGGCGGCACGAGTTCTACCGGAGGGACCAGAGAGCGGGCGAGAGCATCAGCGATTTCGTGGCTGACCTGCGGAACCTCGGGGGCATGTGTGGCTTTACGGACATGGACGAGGTACTCCGAGACCGCGTCGTCCTAGGGCTCCGAGATCCGGTACTGCAAAGCCGACTAATGGCAAAAGGCAACATCGCCCTCACCGACGTCCTCGCAGACGCCACCGCAGCCGAAGCAACCCGGAAGTCGGCGGCTCGAATGCGGAGACCCACCGCGACTACCGATACGGGCCTGACAACCGAGACACGCGCCGAAGCAAGCCTCCGGGAGACCACCACCACACACCATGGTGACCTCGACTCCGGTTCCGACACCACGGACGAGGAAGAGGACATCCATCGACTCCAGACGGAACGAGACCGGCGCGATCGGCGGAGTCGTAAGTCGGGGCCCCAATGCGCCGGGTGCGGAGGCGACCACCCTCGATTGGAGTGCCGATTTTTTGATGCGATATGCCGGCACTGTGACAAAAGAGGGCACATCGCCCGAGTCTGCCGACTTAAGAAAAACCACAGCCCCCGGCAGAGAGAGACAACAGCAACCGGAGACGAGACGGCACCCCCCCCAGGCCCAGAGACTGCCAATCCGAAAATCGCTGGAGCCGAGAGGGACGGGGCCGCCGAAATGGTGACAATCGGCAGAGAGAGGAAACCCACCAGACGGTCGTCATCAGCCATTCGTCCAGCAATGACGCCCGGAAGGTATATGTGGAAGTGAGCATCAAGGGCGAACCATACAAGATGGAGGTGGACTCCGGATCCTACCTCTCCATGGTTGCATGGCGGGAAATCAAGCGCCTGGTGCCCAAAATCCAAAGAAGGGGATTAGAAAGCCAGAAACTAATCCTCAAGGACTACCAGGGAAATCGCATCCCGGTAGTCGGAACAGGCCAGTTCGAAATAAAATTCAAGGGATGAAAGGCAAGGCTCCCATTGACGATCGTGGACCGAGACCGACCCAGCCTTTTAGGACTACAATGGTTCGCGCCACTCGGGATCGAGGTGACGGGCATCGATCACATCGGGGAAGCCAATTGGGAGGAACAACTCGCAAGGGACTTCCAGGAAGTGTTCGACGGCACCCTAGGCAAGTACCAAGGGCCCCCTATTTCTTTCAGCCTAGACCCCAGCGTTCCCCCAAGATGCCTAAAACCACGGCGGGTACCTTTCGCACTCCGGCCCAAGATCGACGAGCAAATAAACAAGCTCGTCAGTCAGGGGGTTCTCGAACCAATTGACCACGCCAGACCCCCATAGTCACCCCAGTCAAGCCCGATGGGTCAGTGAGAATCTGCGGGGACTATAAGGCCACCCTCAACTGCGCATTACAACAGAGCGCCTATCCCGTCCCAGTGGTTCAGCATCTCCTACACTCACTGAGGGGAGGCAAGGTTTTTGCGAAACTCGACCTGGCGCAAGCATACCAACAACTGCCGGTTGACGCAGAAACCGCCGAGGCGCAAACCATAGTAACCCACCGGGGGGCTTTCCGATGTAAGAGACTCCAGTTTGGAGTCAGTGTGGCACAAGGAATATTCCAGAACCTCATGGAGAGACTCCTGCAAGGAATCAAGGGGGTGGTGCCCTACTTCGACGACGTACTGGTGTTGGCAGCCAACCAAAAAGAACTGGAGGGCCGCCTGAGGGAGGTCCTAACGAAATTCAAAAATGCGGGGCTGAAGGTTAAAAAGGAAAAATGCCAATTACATACTGAGAGGGTCGAATTCCTAGGGTACCTTTTAGACCGGCACGGAATTCACCCAACCGAAAAAAAAATCAGAGCGATCAAGGAAGCCCCCAGGCCGAAGAATAAAACGGAACTACAGGCATTTCTAGGGCTGCTTAATTTCTATAATGTTTTCCTGCCACAGAAGGCGACCGCGGCAGAGCCTTTGCATAGGCTCTTGGACAAGGAGGCCCCGTGGACTTGGGGGAAACGCGAGGAAGCCGCCTTCAACAAAACCAAGGACCTACTCACCTCAGATGCTGTCCTCATCCAATACAACGAGACCCTACCGCTAGCTGTCACATGCGACGCATCACCCTTTGGCGTCGGCACCGTCCTCAGCCACACTCTCGCCGATGGAAAAGAAGCACCCATCGCCTTCTTCTCAAGGACCCTCACCAAACCGGAAAGAAACTACAGCCAGCTGGACAAGGAGGCCCTGACTATCATTGCCGCTGTCAAAAGGTTCCATGAATACATCTACGGCCGGACGTTCACCATCGTCACCAACCACAAGCCGCTGCTGGGAATCCTGGCAGGAAACAGGGCCACCCCGAACATTCTATCTCCAAGAATGACAAGGTGGTCCGAATTCCTTGCCGCCTACAGTTACCGGCTCACACACCGACCCGGTAAGACAATCACCCACGCAGACGCCCTGAGCCGCACGCCGCTACCTGACCTGGACACCGACCCAGCACCCACGACAACCACCCTTAGCATAGAGGCTCTGCCCGATCTACCCGTAACCACGTCAGACATTGCCCGCGAAACTAATAAAGACAAACGTCTGGCACGAGTGTTACATTGGGTAGAGAAGGGGTGGCCCGAAAAAGACGTCGATGAAACATTCAGGACATTTCAGAACCGGCAAACAGAACTGTCATTACAAAAAGGTTGTTTACTTTGGGGGGATAGGGTTGTCATCCCGGAAAAATTACAGGGAAAGGTATTGGAATTGTTGCACGAGGGACACCCGGGCATCGTGCGGACTAAAGCCTTGGCCAGAAGCTACGCATGGTGGCCAGGGATAGACAAACAGATCGAGGCTTGGGTGGCAGCATGCAACCGATGTCAGGAAACCAGGCCTAACCCCCCTGCCGCCCCAATCCTGGAATGGGAAACCCCCAGGGGACCATGGTCCAGGATTCACATAGACTTTGCCGGACCCACAAAAGGACACACCTTCCTCATTACGGTAGATGCTTACTCCAACTGGTTGGAGGTAAGCAACATGAAAACTACCACCACATAGGCCATTACCAAAGAACTCAGAAGGCTGTTCGCAACCCACAGCCTCCCAGACGTCGTCGTATCCGACAACGGGCCCCAATTTACCTCGCTAGAATTCGGAAAATTCCTAGCAGAGCGGGGGATATGACACGCATTAACAGCGCCGGCACATCTGGCAGCGAACGGGAGGGCGGAACGGATGGTTCAATTTACAAGAAAAACAATCCAGAAAATAGAAAATGGGGAAATCCAAGACAAAATAAATAAAATGCTTTTGATACAACACATAACCCCAAACACAACAACTAACAAAAGCCTGGCAGAACTATTAATAGGGAGGAAATTAAGGTCCCCATTAGACAGGCTGCACCCCACATACAACCCAGAAAAAACTCCAAACTCCTCAAGCAAAGACCAAACATTTAAACCAGGCGACACAGTATATGCAAGGAACCTTACCGGGGACCCACTGTGGATACCAGCAACCGTAACCCAAGTGACAGGTCCCCGCTCGTACCGTTTCCAAACAACCGACGGACGAGCATGGAAACGACACATCGACCAATTAAGGTCAAGAACTACCACGGGAAACACAACCGACACGCAAACAGACACAAACACATACCCAGAAAAAGAAGGGGACCCCCCCAACACAAACCAAGAGGGGAGGGAAGACCCCAATAACCAACCCACACCAGAAAGAAACTGGGAATACTCACCAGCAAACAGCCAGCTCGAAGCCTCACCAGAAAGAAGCAGCCAGGCCAGCTCAACCAGCCCAGAAAGACCAGGCGGGAGCGGCAACAACCGCAGCTCAACCAGCCCGAGTAGACCGGGAGGGAGCTGCGACGAAAGGCCCGGCTCACCCTTCCAGGCGGTTCCATCGACGAGGCAGAGAGCAACACAGAACCCGACCGAACCGGCCGGGAACCAAGCACCAACTAACCTGTGCAGGTCAAGTAGGCAAGTACGAAGCCCCGCCTACTTACGGGACTACGTTACGTAGGACCATACCAAGAGGGGAGGGGTGTTCTGTACAGTCATTTACATACTCTTAAACGCCGCGCGGTGATTGGACAAGACGCACGGCGAGCTGATTGGCCGAGCGAGCCGCAGTGATTGGCCCGCCGCGAATCTCCCGCGATTGGTGGAAACTAATCGCAGGAGATTCAAAGCGGTGTCATTGGCCACGGCCACCGCGGCCAAAGAATAAAAGCCGCCGCTTTTTCCCTTACGAGCCGAGCCGATCTCGAAGCAAATAAAGAGCTGAAACTAAGTCACTAGCTCCGAGTCTTTCTTCCACGACGGACACGACACAACCAGAATCTGCTTTCATGTAATTTAATGCCATTGTTTTTTGCCTAGCACCTGGGTGTGATTAAGGTCAGATCTCTGTAAGTCTGTTTCAGATACTTGAAAACTCCTTTACTGTCTCTCCTCAGCTCTTATTTCTTTACCTCAAAGCTGAGCATTAGCAGCATCTCCCTGCATTGACAGAAGAGTCTGACCAGTGCAGAATGTAGTGGGAATTTTACTTTCTGTGAACTATACTTCTATTGGTACAACCTGAAACTGAATTTATCTTTTTGACTATTATATTATCTTGCTATTTATACAAAACTCAGTTTGTGATCAATGATAATTCCAACGATAATTTAGAAGGAATTAAATTTGTTCTGCTTATAGCATTGAAATGTAAAGGACTCTGAACATAACATAATTCATAATATTTCTCTTCTTTTACAGTTGTTGAAACAGTACCTACTGAGAAGATATCAGAAAACAAAGGTAAGAATTTATGCACAATAAATAAATGTTACTGAAAGATATATTTCTGTCACCTACCTACCTACTTGCCTCTTTCTCTTTCTTTCTCTCTTTCCTGTCTCTCTCGTATCTTTTAAAATAATTAATTTTACATTATTATATCAACTAGCTTATAAAATTTAAATGTTAAGATGTGGGATTGTTTTTGTTGCCTTTCTGAGAATACAGTACCAGAGAAATGAATCTTTCAGTTTCCTTCAACCTGATGCATTTAGAAATATTAAAACAAAATATATAGCATTCCCAATTCACATGAGTTTTGATCTAATACAATCGGAGTGCACCAAGTAGAATACTATTGTCTTCTGGAGTCAGAACATCATGCAGCAAATAACTTTTAGGCAAAATTCCAGCAATTCTTAAATTTGATTTAAATTCTTTGGTCAGGGGAAATAACAAATCTGAGAACAATTTGAAATACCACCCATAATGAATTTTCCTAATCCTTATTTATAATGCAAGTTCTCCTCTAGGATAAACCCCATGGCATTCAGTGCAAAAGTTGCAGATAACTAGAAGGAAAGAAACAGAAATAAATAATTTCAGTACCCAAAAACAAAACAGTTATCTGCTTGAGAGCGGAGGAAAGAAAGAATTAAATGTCTCTTAAGCAAAGAAGCTGGGAAAAGGGACACAGTTGAAGTTCTCACCAATGAGAACTTCACCTTCAGTCTTACAGGGAGGGAAAAAGCTTTTTCCAATTTCAGTAAAGTTGAGTTAAGGAAGAAATTTTGGGCCAAAGTGGGGGTCAGATATATCTGGGATCAGCTACATATTGGCCCAATATAGTGATGTTTTAGTGTTGATGTTACAGTATCAACAGTATTTAGTGTTGATGTTTGATGTTACAGTATCAACAGTATTTAGTGTTGATGTTACCAAAGAAATGGATTCAAATGCCACAAGACCACAAAGATCACTGGATTCTCCTTTAGCCACCTCACAATGTTAATGAAAAAAATAAATGGCGAGGAATGGTATCCAGTAATCTTTGAAGGACAAAGCCCAACTATGCTAAGAGGAATTTCCCTGAATGTTGTGTTGTGATTATCCTGCATTTATTTACAGAATCAAGAAAGACAGATGTCATTCCTTCACCAACCCACAACAAAGCCATCATTGTCGTTGTGCTAGTGATTCTCATTGTTTCCGGAGCTGCTCTCACAGGTTTCTATTTCTACAAGAAAAGGAATCAACATGGCTCGATAGAGGAGAATTTTGAGAATTCTTTTTATTTTACTGGTGGAGATGCTCCAACAACTAGCGATGGAATAGATCTGGTCATGAACATGGAGAAGAATGAACAGGCAACCAATTAGTCTGGCAACAATCTAAACTGTGTCTTGTTTAATAAACACTGACTTCTGAAAGCACACTACCACATTCTAATGCCAAATTGATAAAATAATTATAAGTCTATCTGTTTCAGCATCTTTACTACATATTAAAAGCAATAATCATTTCATTGCAGACACCATGTAATGCAGCTGCTTTGCATTCAAAGTAAACAATAATACATATAGCTAAGTTGTTGGATAACAAGAGGCAACTTACAACATTTAAGTGAAAATCTATTCTCAAATTCATACTGCAGTTTGAGGGAAACATGGCAACTGCTAAATTTGATAGTATTTCTGGGACCAGAAAAAAAAAACAGGGAAAGGAAAGAACAATAGAACTACATTACTGAGTCAGTAAGCTATATTCTAATGCTGAATTCCTGAAACAAAAATAATGGAATAATTTACATTAACTTGAAGGGCAATAATAAATTAAAGATTTGAAAAGGTGTCTTGTCTGGGGAAGTATTATAGTTGCTTCCCTTTGTCTGCATCACTAAACTTGCCCCTGTCTAAATTATGAGGATAACATCATTTGATTGCTGGATAGCAAGATGGGCAGCATATAAATTTAATAAACATAATAAATTTAATAACATAATAAAATTTGATATATTCCCCATTGGTAAGGCAGATCTAAGATTCTACTGGGATATTTAATTGCTTTATTGAATGTGTTGTACTTCTTAAATAAGTAGCAAATTTGCAAATGCAAACGTATCTAACATATATTTCTGTAACATCATCATATGCTCAAATAGTTATTCAACAAGAAGCCTGCAAATTGCATATCAAAGTATTGGCATTATATTAGTATTACAGGAACAATTTCAGATTAAATTTATATAGTAAAATGGTAGAGTTGGAAAGGATCCCAAGGATCATCTGAGGTTCCCAAGGATCATCTAATCTAACCCTTTGTCCTATGCAGGAAAATCAATTAGACCACTCTGAAGAAATTAAAATATTGTCTTAAAAACCTACAGAGATTAAGAACCCAGAACTTTGGTAAATGGAATGTTTAACTTTCCATCTGACCATCACAAAGTTTTTATTTTCATGCACATTATTTCTGGTTCTAGTTTTGGGACAGTGCAAAATAGTTTGTGATTATCTTCTCTGTATGCTGGTCAGTTATTGCAATAAATGTAAAATATTTGAACACTGTTTCCCTTCCACAGTCTTTTTTCCAGACTAGATGTTTAAATTCTTACATGTATTTTGGTATGACTTTTCTCCCTTGTTTGAGCTTGTTTTAACCTGTGAATATAGGCTAGACTCTGGGGAAGCAATCATTTTCGGTGTCACTACATGACTTTGCACTTTTATGGATTGTAATTTTAATCATTTTTTAAAAGGCTTCAAATCTTTCAAATCTCTCAATTCTATTCTGAGAGATTTAGGTCATTAAAAAGTGTTTTTCTTTGGGGGTTTATGCAGATGCCATCTCAGATAAGTTGTGTTGCTGACTGCTACTTTCGATTTAGCCCATGATATTTCCACCTAAACATTTCCAGAGATAAAATGGGACAACATATGAGTTATGTTCCTTGCCTTGAACAAATCTTTGGAAACAAGGGCAGATATTATAAGTAGATAGATAAGCAAAAAATGTCAATAGCTTGATGTTAAGGCTCTCATCCTATTTTCCAATCGTCTGATCAGAATTTTGGCAAATAGGATCTGCTGCTTCCTGTATGAGAACTATGGGGAGTAAGAGAAAATATCAAAAAGAAAAGGGAAGAGGAACTTAACTCTCTTACTCTTTCGTTAGAACATTTTATTTTAACCCTGTAATTATTTCCTTTTTTCCTATAATTTTAAAATTCATATGATGATCATTGACCAATTGACCATTTCAAATAAATCTGAGGTTTCCCTTCCCCATTTGGATCAAAACTATATTTGAAACTGTTCATTGATGCTTAGAATAAGATATCTAATATCATATGAAATTGTATTGTTTTCAAGCTGTAAATGATGTTCAATGTAAAATACAGCAGAGTTTAAATTTTCAAATATGAATGAACAAAAATATGCATGGGTTTACTTAGATCACCTCTGCATTTCTTTACAATAAACAGCAACAGATATGTGTACTCCAGGTTGAATGCTGATTTTGTGAATTGAAATATAGTTTACAATAAAGTTCAACTCCAGAATTGAAAACTTCCAGATTCTCAATCTCAGCCTGCATATTATAATTTGATTATTATTACTAAATATGACCAATTTTTCATTTTTAATAATCTATTTCGAAACTTTTATTGATCCGAAGAATCATTTGATGGAGGGAATCTAAAGAAGTTTTTATTTTCGACACCCCGCCTTGATAACTATGAATCTTTCTGTCAATGTGTTAACATCAATGTGTTAACTTATTCTATTAATTTTTTTTTAAAGGAACATGGGACATTTTTCAAAGCACTAGCCAACTTTACAAAGCTGTCTTTGGACTTATATTAGCATTCTCAGAATCCAGGTGTGAACATTAATGAACTAGCACAGCTCCCCCATGAAGGTTGTGTGCTTTCTCCTCTTCTCTTCTCCCTATATACCAATGACTGCAGTTCAAACGATCCATCTGTTAAAATACTGAAGTTTGCTGATGACACAACAGTGATTGGTTTCATTCGAGACAATGACAAATTTGCATACAGACAGGAGGTTATACAATTTGCCTCATGGTGTAACCGGAACAATTTGGAACTGAACACAGTCAAAACTGAAGAAATGGTGGTAGACTTTAGAAGAAATCCTTCCATACTACCATGTCTTACTATACTAGACAACACAATATCAACAGTAGATCTTCAAATTTCTAGGTTCTACTATATCACATGACCTAAAATGGATACCTAACTTCAAAAACATCATCAAAAAAGCACAGCAAAGAATATTCTTTTTGCACCAACTCAGAAAGCTTGAACTGCCCAAGGAGCTGCTGATACAGTTCTACAGAGGAATTACTGAGTCTATCATCTGCACCTCTATAACTGTCTGGTTTGGTTCTGCAACCCAACAGGACAGACACAGACTTCAAAGAGTAATTAGGACTGCAGAAAAAACAATTACTACCCACCTGCCTTCAATCGAGGAACTGTATACTGCATGAGTCAAAAAGAAGGCTGTGAAAATATTTACAGACCCCTCATATCCTGGACATAAACTGTTTCAACTCCTCCCCTCAGAACGACGCTATAGAGCACTGCACACCAGAACAACTAGACACAAGAACAGTTTTTTTTCCTGAAAGCCATCACTCTGCTAAACAAATAATTCCCTCAATACTGTTCAATTATTACAAAGTCTGCACTACTATTACTATTAACCTTCTCATCACTTCTTATCACCCCTCCCCTCCCACTTGTGACTGTATGAGTTAACTTTGTCACTTGTATCCTTACAATTTATATTGACTGTTTCCTAGTATGATTTGATTGCTGATTGTACCCTATGACTATCATTAAGTGTTGTACCTTATGATTCTTGACTTGATAAATGTATCTTTTCTTTTATGTATACTGAGAGTATTTGCATCAAGACAAATTTATTGTGTGTCCAATCACAGTTGGCCAATAAAGAATTCTATTCTATTCTGTTCAAGGTATTGTAGGAAGGTGTTGTGAACTAAAGAAATGTAATTAATAAAGATTCATTTGCATAGCAGGATCGTAATCCTGCACTTCCTATTGGCCCATATAGTGGCAAGTTATGATTGGTTCATTCCGAGCAATCTGATTGGCTGTTGGCGGGCCGTGCCAAGATTCAAACGCTATAACACTATCCATTGGTTATCCGGATAGCAGTTTACTCTATAAAAGAGTGACTGCTAGCCGGGGGGTTTTGTCTCTGTTATGCTTGTTGAATAAAGAGCTGAAGTTCACGGTTTACAGTCTGGTCTCCGTTCATTAAACCCATGCCTCAAACTTAACACTGGCGACGAGGATGGGATGCGGAGACAAAAGAGCTGACTAAACCCTACAGAGCACCAACCGAAGCACGTGGCTGAGAGCGCATCTACATCGGCAGGATGTCAGGTGGCGCTATACCACCCGCTCCTTTTGACCCGAAAAAGGAAGACTGGGAGTCATATATGGATCGGTTTCAAATGTTTCTAGAAACCAACAATTTGAAAGACGCTACACCTGGAAAGAAGCGGGCGGTGTTCTTGACCCATTGTGGACCGGCCGTTTTTAAGATGGCGAAAGCGCTCGCGAAACCGGCTGAGGTGAAATCAATGGATTGGGACAACCTCGAACCTATCCTACGGGCTCACTATGCCCCCGCCGTACCAACGTTGGTCCGGAGACACGAATTTTATCAACGGGATCAGCGGAAGGGTGAAAGTATTGCAGACTTCATCGCTGACCTTAGAAACCTGGGAGGCCTCTGTGGGTTTTCAAACCTAGAAGAAGCTATGCGAGACCGCATAGTTCTGGGATTAGATGACCACACAGTACAGAGCAAGATCATGGCAAAGGGGGACATTGGTCTTGCAGATGCCATTGCAGACGCTACTGCAGCAGAGGCAACCAAAAAGTCGGCCGCTCGAATGCGCCGCACCAACGCACCGCTCCGTCAATTTGCCCGTGAAGCCTCGCCTCACCTAGAAAGACACTCAGCAACAGCGCACCATGAGGACCTCGAGTCCCAGTCTGAGAGTGATGAAGAAGAGGTTAACAGGCTTCGGGCCGAACGAGATCAACAAACTCTAAAATTTCAGCTCCCATGTGCGGGTTGTAGGGGAAACCACCCACGATCCGGTTGCAAATTCCTTGACGCAATCTGCCGTTCCTGTGGGAAGAGAGGCCACATCGCACGCATCTGCAGGAGTAAGAGGGAATCCAACACGAACAGAAAGGAGAACAACCTCCGCCAAACCACAGGGAACCTCCCTGCAAATCGGGATCGTTTGAATAACCAATGGAACAACCATGCCTACAGCAGCAAAACATCTGCTCTTCCAGCAAGACGAGAAGAGGCACACCAGACTATTATTATCGGCCACGCTTCGTCATTAGACAAACAAAAGATCTGAGTGGAAGTTACCATCGAGAACCAACCTTGCCTGATGGAAGTTGACTCTGGGTCGTCCCTCTCAATGGTTTCCTGGAAGACCCTTAAACAGCTGATCCCTGCCATCCGTCGTCAAGACCTCAGGACACAGAAAATCATCCTCAGAGACTACCAAGGGAACATGATCCCAGTCGTCGGAGAAAGTCAAGTCCAAGTATCTTTTAAAAATCGTGCCATGTCACTCCCATTAACTGTCGTCGATGGTGACCGGCCCAGTTTACTAGGCCTATAATGGTTCGCCCCACTCGGGATCGAGGTGGCCGGCATTCACCGGGCCGGAAGCGACGATTGGGAAGAGAGCATCATCCAGGAATTCCACGACGTGTTTTCGGACAACTTAGGCAAGTACAAGGGGACCCCTATATCCTTTAGCCTCAATCCAGAAGTAGCCCCTATCCGCCTTAAGCCTCGTCGGGTGCCGTTCGCCCTTAAACCCAAGATTGACGAGCAACTTGATAAGTTAATAGCCCAAGGGGTGTTGGAGCCTATTGACCATGCCCATTGGGAAACCCCAATCGTAACCCCCATCAAACTGGGTGGGTCGATTAGAATTTGTGGAGACTACCGCACCAACCTGAACCACGCACTCCAACAGAGCGCTTATCTGGTGCCGGTGGTTCAACATCTTCTCCACTCCCTGGGCGGCGGGAAGATCTTCGCGAAGTTGGACTTAGCGCAAGTGTATCAACAACTACCCGTTGATGCGGAAACCGCAGAGGCACAGACTATCGTTACACACCGAGGTGCCTTTAAATGCAACAGACTCCAGTTCGGAGTCAGTGTAGCCCCCGGGATATTTCAGAGTCTAATGGAGAGACTTTTACAGGGAATAAAAGGGGTTGTACCGTACTTCGATGACGTTTTAATTGCTGCCCCAAATAGAGAAGAGCTTGAAAGGCGTCTCAGATTGGTTTTACATAGATTTATGGACGCCGGTCTCAAGGTTAAAAGAAATAAATGTCAACTATCCACTGAAAGGGTAGAGTTTCTCAGATACCTCCTCGATAAACAAGGTATTCACCCTACCGAAAACAAACTCAGGGCAATCAAGAACGCCCCAAGACCTAAAAATAAGACTGATCTCC